AACTGGGTAAACTTCAAACGTTCATAACTTCTTCAATACTCAACAAAATCAAGTGATTCAAAAATAAAAATCATACTTCTCGATAAGACGAAGAGAATGGTACCTTTTCAATGGCTAGCTCGTTGTGGTTTGGCTGAAAAAATGGCCTGAAAGGTCGCGACCCAACTTGTGTTTTGATCCCGACGATCTGGAAGGAAGTTCGAGGTGAGTTTGGGTGTTCTAGGCTCATGAGGACGATGGTGGTTGTGCCATCGTTGTTCGTTGTGTGTGTGTGTGTGTTGCCCTCAGGGAGGGTGAGGAGAGATAGAGGGAATATGAGAGAAAGAAAGAAAGTGAGGGAGAGAAGAGAGAGGGAACCGAGGACCAAAAGTGAGGGTAGGCCCCCTTGGGCACACCATTTAACACCAAAAACAATATTTTAAACAAATATACCACAACCCAAATGAAATTACCAAAAATACCCTTCTGTTCCGTAAAATTTGGGACGGGTTGTCACATCCAAGGATCGACCAACCATGTCAGCCATTGTTTCATGTTGAGCCGCGAAGCATCTCCACCATCTCCTTAGCAGCCTACATTTGTCTTGTGAAAAAATTCATGTAGCGATGCAGATCCATCAGTTTTAAAAAAATCATGTTCTGCCGCTTAGCACTACTGTCTAGTGGTATTCCTCTTCACTTGTAAGTGAGAGGTGTTAGGTTCAAATCTCGTCAAAGATAAATTTGAACCACATTATTGCTAACTCATTGTGAGGCTAAGTCCACCCCTCTTTTTAGTGTAGATAATATTGTTTGTTAAAAAAAAAAAAATCATGTTCTAAATGACTTGACAATAACTAAATTCAAAGCTCGTGTGCACTTGATTTGTTGTATGATTATGAGCCCTTGTGATATCTTTAACCCGCATTAATTCTTGCTGCCATTTTGGCAAATTATACAGAATCAAAAGATGTATGGTTGGGAGCTGTCACGCATCTCACATCTATAAATTACAGGACTAACTCCTTGGTGTGGTGTGACTTACACCGGCACATGTTACATAAGCAAAAATAAAAGGAAAACTCGATGGATACAACTGAACTGATGGCTAAAATTAAAACCAAAACGAAATGACCACAATACTGACAATAGTATAGTTCATGTGAGAAATGCAAATTACTGTACAACAATTTTTTTTAACAAATGATATTAGTTACACCAAGTGAGTGAGGGAGTGGGCTAAGCCTTATCATGGACTATCAATAATATGGTTCAAATTCGTTTTTAACAAAAATCAAACTTAAAACCTCTTACTTCCAAGTGATTAGTATCATTATACGTTGTACATTTTTACCTTTTATTGCGGTTTTTTTTTAATGGAGGCCTGCAGCCCAAATACTTATAAACTTACACATTCGAAAAGTCGGCCCATAGTTAACATGGCTGTCAGCTGCTCAAGTTTCGGCCCAATAACTCGAAGACCTTATATTCAGATTTTTTCGGAAAGGAAAATGAAAATTCCTTAAGAAAAGTCTCAATCTCTAATTTATTTATTTTTTTTTTATTTTATGAACCATGTTCGGTTTATTTTGGAGTTTGAATTGAATATAGCAAACGAGAGTTCAAGAAAAAATTTAAGTAGGGGTATGCAGAATGAAAGGTAATGAAACAGAAATTTTCGTGTAAATAAATGCTCTTAACCACTTGAGTTACAAGTCTTGCATCTTAACAATTATCACCTATATCCAAGGTTTATTAATCTAAAATGGTGCAGGTCCTTGCTTGAACAGTTGTCAAAGTTCCATAATATCTTCGGCAGTTGACAAGTTTTGAATATCATCAGTAGCCATGGTGGAAGCAAAAATAGGCAACTATAAGTCAATTCAAACTTTAGAGACGTCGTTGTTGAGTAGGTCATACCAACTGACCAAAATTGCCAAAATTGCCAAAATTCAAAGAAGCCGCCAACTTGTCAAACCAAAAGTGTCAATTTATGGCCACAACTCAGAAAAATAAGTGAAGGGCCACTGGTTGATGGATGGAAATGCCCAAGAAAAATGTTAATGAAAGCTTTGCTTCTTGTGTTCTTCCTCCTCTTCCCATTTGGCACGTCCGTTGACACCATAGCAACGGACCAACATGTCAAGGACGGTGATTTGCTGGTGTCTAAAGATAATATCTTCGAACTAGGGTTCTTCAGCCCCGGGAACTCCAGGTACAGATATGTCGGAATTTGGTTTGCTCGAAAAGATCAAAAAGCAGTGGTTTGGGTTGCAAACAGAAACAACCCCATCAATGACACCTCTGGAATCCTTACTATAGACAGGTACGGAAGACTGCTTCTTTATGCTTACAATATGCAGGGTATTCCTATATGGTCTACAAATGTGACGGTCCAAACCGCAAACACTAGTTGCAGGGCTCAGCTGTTAGATTCTGGAAATCTAGTTCTTTTCCAAGATAACAAAAGTGAAAGTTTTATGTGGCAGAGTTTTGATCATCCTACAGATACTCTCCTTCAGGGTATGAAACTCGGCATCAATTGGAAAACAGGGATACAGTGGGTCTTAACATCTTGGAAGTCACAAGATGACCCTGGAACTGGGGACTACACTGTTAGGCTCCGTTCCAATCAACGTTTCAAACCCCAATATTTTGTTACTTATAAAGGTTTGACTCCATATTGGCGAAGTGATACACTGGAAGACCCTAGTTTTGTCATTAATCAGGACGAAATGTATTACTTAATTCAAAGCGATAGCACTCCAATAAGGGTGGTCTTGAATGATTCTGGGTTACTGCAACACCTGAGGTGGAACAATGCAGATAGCAAATGGAAGGAACTCTGGTCTGCGCCAAAATATCGGTGTGACCAGTATGGACAGTGTGGCGCCAACAGCAAATGTAGCCCTGACAATATCAATTTATTCGAGTGTGAGTGCCTGCCAGGGTATGAACCAAAGTCTGTCAATGATTGGAATAGGAGAGATGGGTCAGGTGGCTGTGTGAGTAAACGAGTTGCGGTGTCAAAGTGTGGGAACGGAGAGGGGTTCGTCAAAGTGGCACGAGTTAAAGATCCAGACACAATGAAAGTAGCACGGTTTGAAAACAGTACGAGTCACAAAGAGTGCGAGCAGGTGTGCTTAAGAAATTGTTCTTGCTCTGCATATATGATCATAGAAGCTGAAGGGCGCATTGATTGCTTGACATGGTATGGTGAGTTGCTGGACATTTTAGTGCACACACAGGTAGGGCGAGATCTGCATGTTCGTGTGGACAAAATCGAATTAGGTACCATTTCTTGCCATGGAAAAGTTGAGTTTCAGATTTTCAGAATATATGATACTTACTGTACTACTGGTTTTGATGTTTTCTAATCCTTTGTCCCACTCTTATGTGTAGCTGAAAATTCAAGAAACTCTAAAGGTTTTCTTAAAAGGAGGGGTATGCTGGCTGTTCTGATGTTGTCTGTTCTTCTGGCATTGATACTAATCCTTGCGTTGTCCTGTTGGTGGCTTAAGAAAAAGAGGAAGACAAAAGGTAAGAAGTAGTCAGTTCTTTAACCGTGTCATCTAAATTCTTTAACCGTGTCAACTAAACAGAAAGCATTCTACTCATTGAAGTACGGCGTTGGTCATAACACTTCTGCAGTTTGTAAACCACATCAAAGCTCTCTACTTCCGATGTCATTTTTTCAAGGAAAATTATTTTCTTTTGCAAAGCTCTCTCCTCACTGCAGTAGTGAGGAGAAAATGACATCGACAATGATTTTCTTTTATTAATTGCAGATGAACTTGAAGAAACCAGAAGACACCCTGAATTGCAATTTTTCAATCTGAGCACGATAATAGCAGCTACAGACAACTTCTCTTGCGTCAATAAACTTGGCCAAGGTGGTTTTGGTACGGTTTATAAGGTTGGTCGAAATTTAGAAGCCATAGATATCTTATAATAGAATGATTTCTTCTCAGCATTAGAGAGTACTCTGTTTCTTTACTATTCTTCTTTAGCTTATCACAAGTAAATATATCGTTAAAAGTGGCAATTACGTCAAAGCTTAATGATAATACCCAATAAAAACTTCAGGGTCAGTTACCAAATGATGATCGGATTATTGCTGTAAAAAGATTGTCCAGAACTTCAGGACAAGGGGTTGAAGAATTCAAAAACGAAGTTGCGTTGATAGCAAAACTTCAACACAGGAACCTCGTGAAACTTTTAGGCTGTTGTATTAGGGGAGAAGAAAGGATGTTGATCCTGGAACACTTGCCGAACAAGAGCTTGGACTACTTTCTTTTTGGTATGTCTGGAGGAAAGATTCATTTGTTCATAATGTTTCTAAAACTATGTACAATATATGTGTGTATGTGTGTGTGTGTTAAGCTTATTACAAAGAAAAATATGACATTTACATAGAAACCATATCATTTTGTAGATCATACAAGAAGGTCCTTGCTGGATTGGAAAAAACGTTTTGAAATCGTCAACGGGGTTGCTCGTGGGATTTTGTATCTCCATCAGGACTCAAGACTTAGGATTATCCACAGGGATCTAAAAACCAGTAATGTTCTTCTAGATGCTGAGTTGAACCCAAAAATCTCAGATTTCGGCATGGCAAGGATATTCCATGGGGACCAACTGCAGGATAAGACCAACAGAGTTGTCGGAACATAGTAAGAATCATACCACATTCACGCATGCATGAAATAAATCACACCATACTGTCATATTTATATTCAACAGAGTTGTCTGTAATATGGTGTTATCTGTTCATATGTAGTGGATATATGTCACCAGAATATGCAGTGTTTGGAAGGTATTCAACGAAATCAGATGTATTTAGTTTTGGGATCATCTTATTGGAGATTGTAAGCGGAAGTAAAAACAATGGTTCGTACCAGGAGGATCATTCCGTGAACTTGATAGGACATGTAAGTCACACAAAATCCGATAACAATCCATCCTTACTACTAATTACTACTTACATTCATCCCTTTCTCAAAATGTTACTTTCAACTGCAGGTTTGGCAGCTGTGGAGAGAAGACAGAGCCTTAGAAATCGTGGATTCTTCATTGGACTCGTATCAGTCAGATGAAGTCATGCGATGCATTCAAGTCGGGCTCTTGTGCGTTCAAGAAGATTCAAAGGATCGACCGACTATGTCAGCAGTTGTATTCATGTTGAGTGGCGAAGCATCTCTACCATCTCCTCAGCAGCCTGCATTTGTCTTCAGAAAGAGTTCATGCAGTGTTGCTGGTCCATCAATTCCGAACGGATTATATTCTGGTGACGATTTCACAATAACTAGAGTTGAAGCTCGATAATGATTCAGCCTCTTGCTTGACTATAATTCCTAGATGATCTGTACAGTATACTGTGAAATGTAATCGTATAGTGTATTCTAGATAAGTTCACGAGCGCCATTCGGACTCGGTAGCACGGTGCCAAAAATATCGAGAAATTTCAGTTCCTTCCTGCCGAATGATGAACAAATCCGGTAGCTAGGTCTCTGACGAAATTTGGTCAACGCTTCGGTTGGTTTGGCCTAACGGCTTTGACTAGAAGCTCCCTATGGAAATGACCAACCCAACATCTCTCTTGTATTCTTATTGAGTTAGAAATTCAAAAATCATAATTTTCTGTATCAAAATGTGTTTTTCATATTTTCCTCATGAGGAAAATGTTAAAATAATTAAAAGTAAATAAAAAGAAATTATCCCACCACTTCTTGGCGCACCGAGAAACTATGAAAAACTTATACAAGCACAAGGAAAAGTCACACTGCAACTCTACGATGTATGAAGACGGTTTAAGAAAGGACGATGATGCTTGCATCCACTCTATGGGAAGCGCTGACTTATCTTGTGAAATTACTGGGATTGCTTTTTGCATGAAACCTGTGACTATAACTCAGTATTCACGTTTGCTAGCTATGCCTTAAAGAGTATACATGTACATTGTAGCTTCAAAGCTAGATGAACACTTCACGGAATATTGAATGGATGAATAATCATGTCTTCGTTTTCATACGGACCGTTCGATCCTTGATTCGGTAGCTTTTAATTCGTGTGAGAAACTACCATGAAAAGTAAGGAAATGTTGCAGAAAAGGCATGGCTGCTTTGAATGTTATATGGATTTGTTTCAATCTCTGATAGGAAGAATAATGATCTTTCACAATAACAGTAACAATGTAAATAAAGTATATTCGGTCCAATCTAATCTCTACTTCTTGGGAAAATCTTCATGTATCCCAAAAACTCCAATAGGTGTAGGAACACTTCAGAATGACAAAATCCTTCATGTACAGTGAAGATTACCGTCCTTCAATGGTTGTTATGGTATCAACATTGGCGGAGTATATACTGTCCTTTTGCGATTGAGGATTCGATACAGACTTTTGGAAAGTAAATATTGGTCGCTGAGGTTGTGGACGATCTGTCTCGCTACTTAACATCAAAACTACATCTGGCATGGTTGGCCTGTCTGTAGCATTGTCCTGTATGCAAAGAAGCCCAATATGCACGCACCTCATAGCTTGGGACGAGGGATATGAATCCCCCAAGACTTCATCTACTAAGTCCAATCCCCTGCCTTCGTTCCATAAGTGCCATGACTGAAAATTTTATAGAGATTGTTTAAGCTATGAGAAACAGAATTTCCTCACGTTAGTATTTTTAGGATGTGAACTTACATATGCTAGGAAGCCGAGCTGTTTTTCATGGTAATAAAAGCTGGTATTCTTTGTCCCGCTAACAATCTCCAACAGCAAGACGCCAAAGCTATAGACATCAGATTTTTCAGAAAGTATACCGCCCATGGCATACTCCGGAGCCATATAGCCACTGCACATGCAACTCATTAGTATTTAACAGACAAAAATTCAGCTTGTGTATAGAATGATAATATGCTAATGTGAGTCTTGTGAGAGCAATTCGGAGAAATGGAAAAGAATGGTGCTTACAGTGTTCCCACAACCTTCTGAGTATTCTCTAGCTTCTGTGTCCCTTGAACAATACGGGCCAATCCAAAATCTGATATTTTCGGGTTCATATTCTCATCCAAGAGAATGTTACTGACCTTCAAATCTCTATGTATTACCTTCAAACGCGAATCGTGGTGGAGATAAAGAAGCCCTCTAGCAACACCCTGAATAACATTGAAGCGGCGGGCCCAATCAAGCTCTGCTCGGCGATTTGGATCTAATCAATGCACCCATTCAATGTGTAAGCTCTAGTGTCACTCAGACATCATTACGCAAATTCAGTTAACAAAAGAACAAGACTAGTAACAGAGAGAAATCGGAGCCATGAATAAAGTACAAGTGAAACTAACTGAATAGAATAGTGTCCAAGCTTCCGTTTGGCATGAACTCGTAAACTAGTAACTTCTCATCATCTTTCACACAGCATCCCATGATCCTAACAAGATTTTTATGTTGGAGTTTGGAGATCAACAGCACCTCATTCTTGAACTCTTCTACGCCTTGCCCTGAGTTACTTGATAGTCTCTTTACTGCTATTTCCTTCCCTTCTTTTAGCTTACCCTGCAACGAGTCCACAAATTAATCGTTCAATTCATGTCTGTATTGTGCAGCTAATTCTGTAACTTTCTTTAGAAGAAAGAGAATGAATACACACTCACCTTGTAAACAGGGCCAAATCCTCCTTCCCCGAGTTTGTTTGTGATGCTGAAATTGTTCGTAGCAATTGATACGCTGTCAAACCTATAAATGAATAGATCCGACTGCTCATGTTCTCGTATATATTCTTGAAGAGTGCTGTCACTTGAATTCTCATTTGGATCAGTCAGTTCAACGAACTTTTTTGTTACTTTGATGTTTCCTGATTTGGTAACTAGAACAATCAAATAAACAAATATTCAGAGGTTAAGAGCTAATATTGGCTTGCAACTAGTAAATATGCTTAACTGCTATTCCTCTGTATCTTTATCTCTCTCTTACCCCTTCGGTTAGCTTGCAATCTGCAAAAAGCGAACACTATGGCAACCAAGACACCGATAAAACATATAGCCGAGAGGCTGGCAATTAACCTTGTTCGCTTTCCTTCACCTGAAGTAAATGAATTTTGTAGTACAAAAAGCATGAGACAGAAGCTGAAGATAGTGCATATTTAAGTTGTTGTGTAAGCAATATTATGACTTACCAGATTTTGTGTGTCGGAGGCGAATAAAAAGATCTTCTCCACCAGACGAAAACTCCTGAATATCAATTAGGTCTTTGGGCCAGACCAAACACCCGATGTTGTTAACATATGCATAAGCCAGGCAAGAACAATTATTTAGGCACTGTATCTTGCACTTTTCTGCATCCAAAGACGAAATAAATTCATGGAAATCTGGTAGTTTTACACTTGACATCTTCGTAAACCCGTCTCCATTTCCTCTTGAAGCAACTGACTGACTTGTGTTACTCTCACAAAATAGTTTGGTTTGCCTCACACACCCTCCTGCCCTGTTTCCTCTGCTCCATTCCTCACGTGACTTCGGTACAAATCCTTTCAAACACTTGCAGATTGGAGATCCAGAAGCTTTGCAAACCCCGAAAGGTCCACATGCTCCATAATTGTCACATGGATTCTTTGCTGCTGGTGCTTCCCAGAATGTATTCCAGTTCTCACCATGTTTCGAATAGATGAGCCTTAATACACCTTCCGAAGAGATGTCCATAAATGCTGCAATAGTTTTAGCAAACAAATCAAAAGAGAAGTACTTTGTTCCCTGCTGCTTATTATCCTCGAGATTAAATCCACTTCGATACTGATCATCCATTTCTGGCACGCCGATGAACTTTGATTTATCCCATGGCCCGCTTCTCCAGTAGGGAGTCGACCCATTGATCCAAACTACCAACTGTGATGGCTCCTCGTGTGACAGTCCAGCCAAGAACATCCCAGTTGACGGATCATTCTCACTTTTCCAAGAAGTCAACGAATTCCTCGTTCCAGATACACTATCGAATCCCATAAGCATTTGCGGTTGAAGCGTGTCACTAGGATAATCAAAGCTCTCCCACAAGTACTGATCAGCTGCAACTCCTACATTAAATTTGACAACAAAGTTTCCATCGTCTAAAAGAACTGCAACTGCTGCTGAACCATTATTCAAACTAGATGCTGTCCCGGAAAAATTGGTTGACCAAACAGAATTCTGTTTGCCATCGACAATCTCCAAACTCCCATTGCTGCTGATTGTCAAACCAGCCGAGGTGTCTGTAGCTGCAATAGGCTTCTCTCTGTTGGCAACCCACACAACTTTTCGAGGAAGTATATCTTTGTGCCATATCCCCACGTACTTATTAGCGGAATTATTGAAGAATCCCAACTCGAAAACGTTGCCTGCCGAGATAAGAGTTTGTCCCTGCGCTAACGGTCGCGACGGAGTTATGTCGTAAATTTCTTCGGCGCAAGAAATCAGTGACAGAAGAAGCAAAGTGAAAAAAACACAAAAACTTTGAGCGTCAAGAACCATTTGTATCCAAATAACTTAGTGCTCAATGTTCATTAAAACAAAGAATGATGACACTTTAGTACTGAATTCTGAGCAAATACGGTGTTATCTACTTGTCGTCCGAAACCTTAATGACGATAATTATGTGGTGTTTAAATGTAATCAATCATTGTTAAGCCTTTTTTTGGATCAAGTTTATTTTCTCTGGTAGACTGGTAGAGATGGTCAACTTTGTCAACTTCCTAATTTCAGTAGTTTGATAGTCCATTATTATGCCCGCCGACTTGCGTATATTCTATTGGGGTTGGTACTTTTGGGTCCCTTTCTTTGACCACATTTTCTGGCATCCAGCCCTTTTATTCGAATCATAACTTTGAAAAGTATTTGGGCAACTTGGAGATGCTATGATAAAATATTAAATCAACAATACTATGAAATGAAAGTATTGCTGATATAAAAGGAGAAATTTGCCAGCATGCCAGAAACATGGTCGTACATCAATTTGTCATAATATAAATGGTTGAGATATATTTTTTAAGTATCTAACAATTTGTATTGTGAAGGTGTACTAGATCGTATTCCAGCATTGTGAAAAACTGCTCTTCTAAAATTAGTAGTGAGGAATGCAATGATATTTCTTCACCCATTGTAATAAAATGCCGTGAGCCAACGAGAAATTTTTTATGGTAACGTGAATACGAGTGGTACACCACGTGTTTTTATATAAGTGGTGAGAAATTTTATTTTTTTAAGGTATTAAATTTTTAACACACACATCCCACAATTTGTATAAGGGGAAACTTGATATAACTCCAATTTTTTGAACCAATAGTAGGAATGATCCAATTTATTAAAATAAGTCCAATTCTTTAAATTTAATTATTTTATTATCAATAATTATCTCTTAAAAGAAAAAACTTATTGTAAAAATCAAATTTCTTCCCAATTATCTCTTTGATTATTTCTTTTTATATTTATTTTTTTTTGTTATTTCTTGTTCTTCCTCCTACTTTAACCCATTTATAGATTTTTTTTTAATTTTTATAATCAACCTATATCACAGGTTAATTGTATTTATTTACCTATATGACAGATTCTTTTTCATAGTCAACCTGTCACAGATTAATGTGTCTTGCTTGTAGGTATATTATGTTTTTTTTCTACCTTTTAGTTAGGT